TATTTTGATTTTTATCATTTTTATTGAGATAAATCTCTAAATTTATTCTTGAAATTTTTAGTAATTAACGCCATTTAAAAAAAGAAGAGTGAAAATTTCACTTAATTTTTAAGAAATCACAAACATTAACATTTTTTTTTATGTGCACAACAATAATAATGAGATTTAAAGCATAAGTTTCATATAAATTACTCAAATTCTTGTCACTGATCCTAATAGATTTTCTTTAAAATTAATATATTTAATCCTTAATTTCTAATATAAATAACATTTATGATTTTTTTTTCTTTTTTTACACCAAACATTTATAATTTCTTAATTTCTTAAATAGTGACTTTACATTCATAAGAAATATACGACATAGTTAAATTTTTTCAACAAATTTAAGAGTTTACTTTAGTCACCAGATCTAAATCATGAAAAAAATAATTTCAAATTAATTTATTCAAAATTATTATTAAAAAAAATTCTCTTGAGCCAATTGCTAGCAAAATTAACTAATTCAGCAACAAGATCAGACCATGCGTCACTTCCCATTAACCTGATTCTTTTGGGCTGGGCATGTATTGGGCCAACAAATTTTTTAACTGGGTTAAATTAAGCAGTCAAGTTTTTTTTTTTTTTTTTTTTACTGCAATTAAGCAGTTAAGTTAAAAGACTAAAAAGATACTTGCCCTAGTTTTATCCAATTAAGTTGTGAAACCAAATCATTTTCACTTTTTCTTTTCTCTCAAAATTACTTCATAACCCGATCAACAATATAATAATTAACGGGCTATAATTTGTTTTTTAGTCCATAAAATACTGTTAAATTTAACCTCCATTCTTCAAAAATAACTTTTGCTGATTTTAGCAGTAATGAATAATTTTAATTTTTTTTCTCAAAAAATGAACCTTATAATCATTTAATCACTTAATGATGTCATGACTTGCATCTACACATGAAGACCAAAACTAAAAAAAAAATTATATAATATATTAGTATTATTAATTCGCTATTAATTTTAATATTATCATACCCCTACATATAACCATATTATTTATAAATATTAGCTATTTAATACATCTGTAACTTAGTGGATCCCATTGTAAACGTTTCCAATCGTTACACCTTAGAAAATTATTTTTTTTTTTTTTTTTTTTTTCCGTGTACAATTTTTTCCCACTACAAAAGTAACATGAGATCTAATCTTTGGTATAAAAATTAGCCCGGCCTCAACTTCACAAAGACGCACGAATAAGTTATAGTGTTTGGCTTAATGCAAAATATTCCAAGATCCAATCTTTGTCAACTATATAAAGCTATATATTCATTGATAATTGTCTGATTTGCTTCAACGGCCATGAGAACCAGAAAACGCAAACGGATATATTCTCTATCAATGATCAAGAACATGGCTAAAGAGCTGAATTATATGTAATGGTTTTATATGTACATGTTGTAGCTATGGGCTAAATCAAATTGTGGCTGGACGCAAGTGCACAATTATTAATTACCATCACATGAAAGAAACTAGCAACAATTGAGACAAAAATAGAATTCGAGTATATACGCTACAATGAATTGTTTCTTTCAACAATTGCCCTCGAGGATGGCAGTGTTATGATTGTTTTAAGGGTAGAGAAGGGTAGCATGTTCTACCAATCATACGCAAAGGAAAAATAATTGATATGTGTAAGGTTTATGGGTACCGTGTTGGAAATGCATATCTTGTTTAATTTATCAACCCAAATTTGGAAAAACGTTTGTATTTTATTTGCCAATGTGTCACATACATGGGCTGGCCCTTAGTGTTGGCCGAAGCTACTTTCTTCTTTGCACTAACATGGATAATGATTCTATGCGCGATCAAATAAATAAAGATTACTAAGGATAATGATCCCATGCATGATCAAATAAATAAGCATATGAATAAAATGAACAAGAAAAGATTGACACAAAAATTAAAGAGCGTCTATTTAAAAAATGGTAAAGTTTAAGTATTAGTTATTGAAAATATTATATCAAGTAGTAATATCAATAAAATCGTGTATATAAGTGAAGACAAATTTTATCTTACAAGTTAATTTTATAAGATTGAATTATGGTCTGCCATTCACGTTTTTAAAATGGTATCATCATCTATCTTAGCAAGTACTATTAGACTTTTCAGACCGCACCTAATATTGAGTTATTATGAAATCATTTGCAAATGTTTAGTTATGCGAACTTCATGCTTAAGATATCTGATCCTCAATGTGAAGGTGTGTTGGAGATCTTACATTAACTATTAGTATGGCAAAAGTGTCCAAGTAATCCACTAGTCGATATAGGATCTATAACACACTCTTTCATGTCAAGGACTAGATATCTCGAGCATGAAACTTGCAATATTGAACATTTGTTGGTGATTTAATAGTCTCCCAATAATGAGTAACACGATAGTCCAACAACAATCAATAGAAAAAGTTATGATACAATCTTAAGAAAGTGAATTTATGCTTAACTCAAACTTAAAAAAAATGTCTTGTAAGATGATAATTCTTCTGACTTATATACGCATTATGAAGAAAATGTGTTGAACATCCTACATTGACTAGTAGTATGACTAAAATAAAATATATAAGTGAAGAGCAATTCATTAAACAATGTGGGATTTCAACACACCTCCTCATGTCGATGATTGAACATCTCAAGTTAGGCCAAAATATATTATATAAGTGAGAAATAATTTTCGGCCATAAGCTAATTTTTCAAAGTTATGTATAAACTCACTTTCTTAAAATGATATCATAACTTATTTTGGCCTAAATCAAGATGTTTAATCCTTGGTGTTAAAAGAGTGTGTTATAGATCTTACATCGACTAATGATATATTATCAATGACTAGACATCTTGAACATGAAGTTTCCATGATTGAATATTTGCAAATAGTTCAATATTATCCCAATAGCAAGGGACACGATAAGCACAACAAAACTTGTAAGATAAAAATTATTCTTCATTTATATATTTTATTTTGGTCATACCACTAGTTAACGGTATAAACGAGTCCCGCTGAGTTTAAACTATTTTATTATTGAACCCAATTAAACTTTAGTCAGATTGAGTTGGGTTGGATTTATGAACTTTTCTAAAAGCAACCCAACCCAATTACAATTAGGTTGGATCAAATTGGGTCATCGAGTTAAGCAATTAAAAAGATAAATATATATTAAAATTGAAATAAATAAAAAATAGAAAAAAATACTTAATTTAAATTTTAATATATGGTTCAAAGTACAAATAACATTACAACAATCATATATGAGAAATCAAAAATATCCCAAACAAACAAGCATTATGTCACTAACAAATTATGAATTACGTAACAAGTAAAATTAAATTATTTTTCTTGCTCTATGCCCTCTTCAATTTAGCGAATAAACTTAATAATACAATATTTGGTTAAAAAAATATAATTAAATATATGCAATGAAATGTATTATGAGTTGTGTTGTGTGTAGTATTTTTTATTTAATTTAATAATTTATTTCAGGTCAGATTAAGTTGAATTGGTTTGGGTTGCAAACTCCTTGACCCATTACTCGATCTAATCATAATCAGGTAACATACAAATTACCTAATCCAACCCACAAAAAATATAATTGAATTGGTTCACATAGATTAGATTTGTAGATAAGTCATTATCCACTTACACGCTTATAACTAGTCGGTATGAAATATTCATCATTAATTGCAACAACATTAACGTTTATAATACTTATTTATAAACAAGATAAAGTTTAAATAAAATTTAGAATATCTATTTATAAAATAGGTAAAGCCTGGAAAAAAAATTTAAGTACTCTTTTTCCCTCATTTTAAAAGAATTGCTACAATTCCCTTGTAAAATAATGCGCACAAGTTTTTATCTTTGCACCGCTTATTAACCTATTATAGAATTTATAATTAATCAATAATTTCGTACAAATTGAAGATTTGCTAGTATATTATCTAAAAAAGAACACCTTTATATTAAATAACATATTATCCATTGATGAAGGTAGTGCAAAGAAGTACCAATTACTTTTTCATTTGCATGAAATTTTGTAAACTTAATTTACTTTGTATAATTTACAAATAATTCGATCGTGAAGAGCATGTTCGGAAAACATAATTTCAGCTATTTTATACCAAAAAAGCTGTTTACGAAAAAAAACTGAATGTTTAAAACAACAGTATAAATTTGTAAATAGCTTTTATTTTTCCTGAAAAATAATATTTTCTCTAATCCAAAAATTGGAAGCTTATGATTTTTCAACAGTTTTTTTTTCTCCTACAACTGATTAACTACATAAAAGTAGTTTTTTATTTATTTATATTTTATATGCAAACAATTCAATATTTCAAAATCTCTTTTCAGCAAATTTACCCAAATAAAAATTCATTTCAATTATAGCAATAATCGTTTACACACACACACACACACATATATATATATATATATATATATAATCAATTATTAAAATAATCTATTTTTCACAACTTATTCAAATACACTTTAATTATATTTGATTAATTTCTTATTTTACATGAAAGTTAACAGCAAAGTACACACAGAGCTCGATACCTATTGTTCTGTATAATAATTTTTGGGAAGTAAAGATTACTAAAGTAATTGTAGGGACATCATTTACGGTTACGAATATGATAAGCAAACTTCAATTTTGGGATTTCCTCGCATCATGCATTATCTAGCTGGGGAAGATATAAATCAGTCAGTACCTAGTTATACCTCGTCTGCCAATTGCTCTCCTCAAATGCAATGTCGTCTGTCAATGATTATAAGGTTTATTTGATGTAATGTAACTACGGTGAACCAAATTTTCTTTACCCAACGTTTAAATGAGCGTAAAAAAAACGAGAATAAAAGGGGGGAAAATTTAGATAGAAAATTTTTTAAGTGGTTCTATTAAAAATTTGTTTCTCTTGTCTTTTACTTCATTTTCTCTAGAACCAAATAAGAAAAAATTGCAAATTTCAAATATTTTCTTTTCTTCCTATTTTCCTTCTCACTATCCAAAGTCGAAACAAGGAACAGATAAAATGGCAGGGTGAGATGATATAAACACAAATTTGAAAAAAGGCTGGGGAAGCACAAGCATTCGACGTTACAAATGGTAGAAGTGTCATTTTTATACAAAATGCATGAAACTCTCTGGGGCATCATAATCAGATATTTTCATTACTAAGCATGGCATGCAGTACCAGGTACTTCAAAAAACTGTCCCAGTTGCACTGGAAGGATGTCTGGTTTTGTTTACCAAATCGAATGCTTTATGCCAAGCCCATTGCACGTCAATATAAGGCCCTTGTAACGGTTAAGATAATCCTACATAAAAAATAAAATTCAAATAAACCAAAGAATCATTTTTGTAAATAAAACATTATTTCAAAACACAATTCTTGTCAGACGAAGACAGATATTGCTTACAATGATATTATAATCATATACGTAACGCATCCCATTTATGTCATATTCCCTCCTTTTGACTGGATCACTCAAAACTGTCCAATAAAGTCAAAGAGGTGTTAGATTATAATAACTTGACATAACTCATTTGTCCCATTTACTTGGTTAATAGAAAACAATTAAGGTAGGCACATAATAGAGAAATAGAGTAGATAATCTGCAGAATATACTAGACTACCACAGCAATATCATATTTATAGAACCACTAATCTAACCCCTTTCACTAGCTACTGTCTGAAACAATCTTCACTGTCGATTACAAGCCAATGAGACTTTTAGCATTGGCAAGGTCAGTAGGGAAACAAATATGGAAGAAGGGGTAAAGCTCCCATAAACCTCTACAAGTTCAAAAATCCACCAGTTGTTTTATCAATTCTTAATTCCTTATTCCATCTGACAGTCATCCCATACAATAAACATCACTTTAACAACCCAAAAAAAATACTGCACACATCATATAAAATTAAAAAGGGGTGTTCAGTGCATGAGGCTCCCGCCAAATGGGGTTTGGGGGAGGGTAAATGTGTGCAAGCGGATTTCTAAGATTTGAATCCATGTCATCCAGGTCAAAAGGCAGCAACCCTATCATTGTGCAAAGGCTCATCCTCACATCAGATAAAAATTAACTACACCAAATCTGGATGTGGTAACAATCAAGTGGTAGAAATTATTGCAAAATGCATTTGTGAGCTTCAAACTTTAAAGCAGTATCCTTTGCAGTTAAAAGGAGAATTTGCAAAACAAAAACTTGGGGAGATAAGGTGGAATTGGGGCTAAAAGTTCGGGAACCTTTTCCTCTTCTTTTTAATCTTTTGCAAGGTGTGGGACTAGAGAGGACACATTCTTTTAAGCTGATAACAGAGAGAGAACAAACACAATATAATGAAACCATCCAAGTTGTGAGAAAGTTTATATGTCTCCAATAACAGCCAGGATTTTTATTAACCAAAGGATGCAAAATTGTGGAAAAAGAATCATGATAAAACAATAATGTAAAAACTAAAATATTTAATCTTTAGATTCTGAGCTGTGGAGAACGCAAATAATTGGCAGCAAAGTCAATGAGATCAAGGTGCTTATTGTCCTAAAGGGAAAGAGCAGTTCTAATGAAATAAAGCAAGGGTCAGTTTGAATAAACTTATCTATAAACACTTATTGGAGAAAAAAATAAGGAAAAATAAAATAAGTTTCTGCAAAAACTACAATTAGTTTATGAATAAACTAATTTGAATAAGTTCTCTCATTAGCTTTTTTTAAATATGTATTACACACATAAGTTAATTTTAACTAATGGAGAAACTTATTTCATTTATTTTTCACTTAGAAATGTTTATGAAGAAGTTTATCAAAATAGGCCCCAAGTTGAGTGACCCTTTTTCCTCTTGACAACAATAAGAACAATACAATTTTCTTCCCATGGGTTGGTCCATTTGACTACACGTTGGGGTGTCAATGAGAGTTGACTAATTGTAAACTATTCAAGGAAATGCTTGACCAAAGTCAACTCAATCCTTTACTTAACAATCAAACTTGAGTTTTAAATTTGACTTGTTTAAATGAATGAACCAACCTAGACTAGCCTCTTTTCTTTTGCATTTCAAGCTCAAGCTTCAAGTGCTCAGCTTGACTCATCTACCCCTCTGGCCACAAGGACCATCAAAAAATGTCATTGACACATTGTGTTACGATAAAATCAAGTTTTCAGAAAGACCACTTAGATTAAGGTGAAACCATAGTAGGCAAGATTTAATCATCTTTCCTCAATAGGTACAACTCCAACCTTCTATCAAATACACTCATTCCCAACCTTAACTTTTCTTGTACTACTACTAATCCACCACAGCCACCTCGACAACACATTGCTTATGCATTTGGTGGCACTTTAGCACCCAACATTCAGTACCACAAGCATCAACATTCTTATGCTTGCTCAAATTTAAACACAAGCACGCTTGCTCAAGTTTCTCTCATCCTCTGGATTTCCGAAATCTCAGAAGAAGAAAAAAATCCACAGATTATTACACTCAAGCCCTATGCCAAACAACTGATTATTCGATTCCCATATTGTACACTCACATGACATCCCATTTCCGAAGCACTAAAATCACACTCACATGACACGTCAACCTTAGACACGAATTTAGCAAAACAAAAACAGTCCCCGAAACATCAGTAGCAGGAAGGAGGACAAAGTAATACATGGAAAGCATCCATAAAAGTTGTTTAAAGCTACAAATAACGAACACAACCCTAACCCTAGCCCTAAAAGGACATACATACATACACATAAATACATACCCTGATATGCCTCGTTTATCTCTTGGAATCGCGAGGTTGCAGAATCCTGGTCTTTCTGCTTGTCCGGGTGCCACTTCTGCGTGCAGAAGGAGAGCGAGATTAGGCCCAATTGGAAAGCCCAACAAAACGGAAATGCTAACTACACAACACAACATAACACACCAGAGCGAGACGAATGTAATTGGAACGAATAGCGTCGTCCGTAGCATCATAATCCACTTCCAGTATCTTATAATAATCCTGCACCCAACACACAACCCTAATTTGAATCATTCCAAAAATAAAGTTTAAAAAACAGAGAGTGAACTAAGTGCACCTTGGGTTTGGAGATAGCAGAGAAGAAATCGAAATTGAGATAGGAATTGGGCTCGGGATCGGATTCGGGTTGGGGCTGTTCGTGTCTGGGGATTGCGTCTTCGTATTCGTCCCATTCCCACATCATGTTGAGATTTTGAGTTGCAAATTGCGAGAGAGAAGAAATGAGTTGCGCCAAAGGGATAAAGTGGAAAAAATAATAATTGTATTGAATTTATTGGTTCTTTCCTTTGTCTCCGTGTGCCTCCGCGTGCCGCGTACGTCTTATTTATGCCGCTATTCCCCAACGCAATTACTAACATTCTCCCCCACTAAAATTCTAGAAATTATAATTTTTTTTTTATTTTTTTAAAATATATTTTTAGTGCTTAAACTTTTTAAAGAATTCAATTCTTCTTAAAAAAATAATTTTGTCAATTTTTAATTCTTCATTCATTTTCTGTTGCATAAATTAGTCTTTAAAATTTACTCTGATTTATTTAATAATAATATGTGTTAATAAATTATGATTGACTGAATTATTAATGTTCACGTGATTAATTAATAGATGTTAAATCATATATGATAAATGTAATTTTATGATTCATTCATGATTATATAGGTGAATATTTATTTTAATAACTTTTTTTATTTTAAAAAATAATGTTTGACTATCAACAAATAAAAAAATTAAGTGTTATATAATTTGACATCTATTAGATTATCATGTAAACATCAAATAATCATGTTAATTATAATTTATTAACACATATTATTAATTAATAGAAAATATTTAATTTTAAAGACTAATTTATCATATTTATGTGATAAAAAAATTAATAAAGAACTAAAAGTTGACAAAATATTTAAAAGAATTAAAAATTGAATTGTTAAAAAGTTATGGGACTATTTTTTTTATGATCTTACTCATAATTTATAGTAATTTGTGTCTTATTAATGTCATGGGGAGTGAAAGTTATAAAACAGTTATGGAGTATGCAATTTATTTTTGACAAGTAATAATTTTTATTTAAATTAATAAAGTAGAATTATCGAGTTATCCTATACTAAAAGAAAAAAAAAGTCTGTGGTTATCATAATAAAAAAAAAGGGTAAAATTATCTTAATAATGAATCATCTTTATATATCATTTCAGGTAAAAAGAATGTTGTTACTATTGCTCTTATAATATTATTTTAAGAGTTAGATTGTAATGAAAAAAATGAATATTTGTTACCTGAATTTGAGGGTACTTTGATGGAAGAGATGAAATCCTTCGCACTCCAACACTAATAATAGAGGTAGTTATTCAACACTCAAATTAAAGAGAAGTTTTGTGTTTAAAATGTAATTAGAGTTATGATCAAACACACTACCTCTTAAATAGATGTTCAATTATTATCACTGAAGCTATAAATTTGGTTGCTTGATTTAGGAGATATTATGTTTGTTAAGTAAAAATAATTCATCTAATTATGATAATTCAGGATCTTAAAAATATTTGATATCCCACCAATTATTGAAAATTAATTATCTATAATTTTTTCACATAATAATAGGTCAAAAGCTCAACATGGATAAATAAAAGACAAAATTAAGGTCTGATTAACAGTACACAAACATCTATTTAATAATAAAACTAGGAGATGAAAGAAAGCAAAAAGAAGGTGGCCATGTCCCATATCGTGATAGCAAATTATCAAGGCTACTACAGGTTTGCACAGTATTTGTTTAATGCTCTACATCATATATACTTATCTTGAACAGCTCTGCATATAATATGTAGGAATTTTTCTATATCTCACTCCATAGTTTATGGCTTCTTTGGCTCATTATTTAAAAGGTCATGTATTGTTAGGAAAGGAGGCGTGCCTGTTATTTTTGTCTGACACACCAATTAGAGCTTCTGAACTGAGTGTTGTGTGTGGGATTTATATATTGCAACTTCAATCTAGAAATGAGATACTAAAGTTTTAGTTGTTGTGTTTATTTTTGAAATATCTAAATCATGGATTCATATTATATTATCTTGACATGGAATTGGTTAATGAATATGTAGGATTCTCTTGGAGGAAACAGCAAAACTGTTATGATAGGTACAATACTTGCTTGATGGATTTTGAAAATTTTACACTTTTAATATCTCATGTATCATCTAATCTGTTTGGAACACTGCAGCATGTGTCAGTCCAGCTGACACCAATGCTGAAGAGACATTGAACACTCTGAAGTATGCTAACCGTGCTCGCAATATTCAGAACAAGGCAGTTGTAAGTGCTAGATTTTAGTGTTCTTGATGTTTATGTTTTGTTTTGTTTCATTTTGTCCCTTTTTCTTAAAATGTGAGTGACAGTTTTGAAGTTTCTTATATTTGATGATTTTAATTTTTCTTATAGATCAATCGTGACCCAGTGGGAGCTCAGATGCAGAGAATGCGAAGTCAAATTGAGCAATTGCAGTCTGAGCTTCTATTTTACAGAGGTGATGCTGGTGGGGCATTCGAGGAACTTCAGGTACATCATTGTTTTAGGAAGTTTATGAAGTTGATCCGTCATTTCCCTGGTATAGGTTTCTAATGTTCTTTTTTCCCCATAGATTCTTAAACACAAAATATCCTTACTAGAAGCAAGCAATGCAGAGCTACAGCGGGAGCTTAAAGAACGTCGAGTAACTTGTGAGAGTTTATCACAACGTGCTTGTGATGCTCAGGTCTTTCTCTAATCCTTTATGTTCTCAATTCTTATATAATGTTGCGTGTCTTACCAAAAAATAAATTTTGTTAGTTGTTTCCAATGTTGCTTCTGTTTTATTTGCCATCAAGTGTCTCATTCAAGGTGTTGAATTTAGGTTGAAAAGGACCAACTGATCATGAAAATCGAATCAATTCGAAATGGTAAATCTTGGGATGAAATTGAATCAAATTCAAATCAGGTTTGAACTCATCAAATCATTTTGCTAATGTATAATTACAATTTTCTGATGAAGCAATCCATCACTGACTCTCGGTACAAACTTGTTTCTAGGATTATGACCTGGTTAAATCTTATGTGTCAAAGATCCAAGAGATGGAAGGTGAATTGCAGCGTTTGAAAAATTCAAATGCGAAATCTAGACATTTTGTTGACTGGGTTGATTCGGATGATAGCGGATTCCAGTCAAAGAATGCTTTATTTGCATGTGATAATGAGTACTCTTCTGATTGTGATGCCAAAGTGGACATAACAGGTAGAATTTTGGCAGTTGTTTTGATGAATTATTGTATGATGTATCCTTGATTTGATTGATAACCCTTGTGGCTGATGTTAATAATATTATTTCTGACAATTTTGTTATGGTCGAGACAATTGAATCAAAGCTTGGATTTAGCAGCAGCATTTAAGCTTCTTAATACCTAGTTTTTTTTTATTTGCATTTTTGCTATCACTTTGGATTGGTAGTGTTCCCAAATATCAATAGATAGTTTTTTAACATTGTGCAACCTGTAAGCAGATGAGGAAGATCATGCAAAGGAGATAGAACACTCTTCTCTTCAAGAAAAGTTGGGTAGGGAGCTCAAAGAATTGGATAAGAAACTTGAACAAAAAGAGGTAAAAATTTCAGGATCTAGTTTCAAACTCGTGAAGGATCTTTATCAATTTATACAAATTTGCTAGATATTGGATGTGCTGATATGCATTTTCTTACATATATAGTATTGATTTTAGAAGATGATTTATCTGTTTACTGCCTAATTTTTTTTATTCTTTTTTTTTTTTTGAAGGCTGATTTGAAGAAGTATAGTCATGAGCAAGAGTTTGAAAAAAAAATTCTTGAGTTAGAACAAGAGAAGAAATTTTTGCAGGTATTTGATCTGTGCTATCTTGAATTATATTCAATTTAAACTGTTACCTTTATAACTCTGTTCCTATTATTTGCAGAAAGAAATTGAGGAACTTAGGTACAATCTTGCAAATATTTCATCCACCTCTGATGATGGTGCTCAAAAGTTAAAGGCGGAATATCTTCAGAAGTTAAATGCTCTTGAGGCACAGGTGAACTTATCACTTGGAATGTCTCAACTCTTAAGTGCCACTCAATGTGGTGAACTGATTATTTTCTTTCCAGGTCTCTGAGTTGAAGAAGAAACAAGAAGCTCAGGCTCATCTGTTGAAACAAAAACAGAAAAGTGATGAGGCTGCAAAACGACTTCAGGATGAAATCCACAGAATTAAATCTCAAAAGGTGCAATGGTCCTGCTAATGCAACTTATATTCAGTTTGAAGCGGAAAGCAGTGTTTTATTTTTTCTTTTCCTTTATAGTTATTACCGACAAGCTTTTTTTTTCTCTTCAGGTTCAATTGCAACATAAGATTAAGCAGGAATCAGAACAATTTAGGCTATGGAAAGCTTCGCGTGAGAAGGAAGTTCTCCAGGTAAATTCAGCATAGAATACTTTTCTTTAACTTTTTTTAATAAAAATATCCCTTTTTATTTTATCACAACATTCTTCTGCAATTGTACGGAGGGAAATCATTATAGATTGGTATTATTTTTTCCATTCGATAATGGTGTGAAAATATTATCTATCTATACTTTGCAGGTACTTAATTTATTTGCTGATCACTTGCATATAAGGAAGGACCTCTAGTGTCTAACATGAACAAGTTGATCAGTTATTAGTGAATCTTCTAATACATATTTTGCGTAATTTTCAGCTTAAAAAAGAAGGAAGGAGGAATGAATATGAGATGCATAAGCTGTTAGCGTTGAATCAGAGGCAAAAGATGGTAAGTAGATGTTCAAACAAGTTGCTTTTGGGGCCTGGTTTGGATATCAAGCTTTACTGTTGATTATTCCCATTATTATTCATGAGTTCATTACAGGTATTGCAAAGGAAGACAGAAGAAGCTTCCTTAGCCACAAAAAGGCTAAAAGAACTTTTGGAATCTCGAAAGACTTCACGCGAAACTACAGGTCAGGAGATTTACAGTGCTACGAATCTTTTCCTGTTTTGTGAACTTATTAACAGGCAGTTCCTTTTTTACACACAGGTGGGAATGGTCCAGGAATTCAGGTACTTCTTTTTCTATGCTTGTGAATCACAATGACTAAATTGTTTCCTAAGCAATGACCAGTTCTCGACGGGGCTAATATTCTATATTCTACCCTTTTTTAATGTGTGTATCGTGGGGACATGGGGTAGTTTATTTTTAATACTACTATGATTCCATCACGGTATTTTATGGCTGATGTCTTGGTGTTTTAATAACTTCTACTTGACATTTGATAATTGTTTTTATTTGCAGGCTTTGATGCAGGCAATTGAGCATGAGCTTGAAGTCACAGTCCGAGTGCACGAAGTACGCTCAGCACATGAGCGTCAAACAGAAGAGTATGTTCTACTTTTTACATTTATAGTGTGTTTAGGAAAGCTTTTTTCCCAAAATTTTAGCTGTTTTTATAATAAAAAAGCTGTTTATGATTTAAGCTACATGTTTGAGAAAGATGCTGAAATTAAAAAAAAAAAGCCGTTTTTCAACATCTTAAACTTTGAGCTGTTTGATTATTCTTCAACTGCTTATTTCTCTTTTATCATTGTAATTCCCAAATTTACCAACAAAAAGCTTATTTTTTTTAAGTATCCAATTGAAATTAATTATCTTGGTATCATTTTTTAACAAATTTATCCAAGCAAAATTAGATTTTGATTGTAATTGATTATAAGAATAATCAATTATTTAAAAAATCATTATAAACATAATTAAAAATTTGCAGCTATCTCAAACACACTCTTAGATTCTTATCTGAAACCTTTAGATTGAGTAGGATGTTTTAGGATGTGTTTGTTTTTCAATTAGGTTGAACGTAACACAAAAGCAACACATCACTTGCTTTCAACATCTTAAACTTTGAGCTGTTTGATTATTCTTCAACTGCTTATTTCTCTTTTATCATTGTAATTCCCAAATTTACCAACAAAAAGCTTACTTTTTTTAAGTATCCAATTGAAATTAATTATCTTGGTATCATTTTTTAACAAATTTATCCAAGCAAAATTAGATTTTGATTGTAATTGATTATAAGAATAATCAATTATTTAAAAAATCATTATAAACATAATTAAAAATTTGCAGCTATCTCAAACACACTCTTAGATTCTTATCTGAAACCTTTAGATTGAGTAGGATGTTTTAGGATGTGTTTGTTTTTCAATTAGGTTGAACGTAACACAAAAGCAACACATCACTTGCTTTCAACATCTTAAACTTTGAGCTGTTTGATTATTCTTCAACTGCTTATTTCTCTTTTATCATTGTAATTCCCAAATTTACCAACAAAAAGCTTACTTTTTTTAAGTATCCAATTGAAATTAATTATCTTGGTATCATTTTTTAACAAATTTATCCAAGCAAAATTAGATTTTGATTGTAATTGATTATAAGAATAATCAATTATTTAAAACATATATATATCTATATATATATATATATATATATATATATATATTTCGTGTTTTATTTAAAAAAATTATCTAATTCTCTTTTAGCATTAAATCAAATGGACACTAAATTTAATAAAGCAATAGAGAAACAAATTACATTAATATTATATTCTTTTGAATATTTTCTAAATAAATTCAATTCTAACAACTAAAATCTTAAAGCAAATAATGACAATTGGTTTATATTTTTCCTATTCTTTATATATTTGCACGACACTATATCACTTTCTAATATAACTTTATAATTGATAAATATTACATATAAATCTTGAAAATATCAAATAAAGTCAAGCAAAATTCTTTGTACCTTTAAACATTCAAACCGTTTAAATGACTTACATAAAAAAACACACAAAGAGGTACCACGATGACATATAATTAAACAAAACACAGATGACTAATTCAAAACAACTTTAGTTCTTTTATCCAAGAGAGTCCTTCGTCAATAAAGCTTATCACTAATAAGTTCATTTTGGACACCTAGTTTTACCCATATGTCGGCATTTAACTGATCTTTTATATTATGTTTATGCTTTGTTAGGAGCTTAATTAAAGAAACATGACGCATTACCTCAACAAGAGTGTAGTTGATCAAGTAAAATCTAACCTAATAGCAATTGAAATTACACTTTATCCTTTGTAGTTAAACACTACTTTGATTTACTAAATGTTTATTTTGATACAAATTTAGAAATATTTTTTTGAAAGTTTTTTTTACTGAAAAATACTCTTTATTTTTAATTCTCTTTACTTTAATAAATACTTTTAGTTTGTATCTAAATAGGCTTTAAGTCTAATATATTCTTCATTTTAGCAGCAGATTTCTTAATAGAAACTAGATTATATAGAGCAAGCAGCCAAAGTTTTATTACACCACATAAGAATGAGAAGGAAAGAAAAAAGTTCACCATACTGCACATTTATATAATAGCAACATAGTTTGGAATAAAAAAATATGATAACAGCAACATAGCTATGAAGCAGGCTTCAACTTGTATTTTTAACCGAAACTTAATGAACATCAAAACTTACTCTACAAAACTTAATGATGAAGCTCCTATATGGCAAGCTTCTTGACCGAATAGAAGAAATTCTTCAAGCTTGAACCGAGAGAAGCTTCAAGGCCGAAACTATCTTAAAGAATCAAGGTTGATTCAATGATGCTAGCAATTCCGGAAAGAACTCCTAAAGCTCTAAAGAAGAAAACTCAAGGAGACAAGAAGGAGAGAGTTTCTCCTTGGAAGAGAAGAGAGAGACTTTCGGTGGGGACTCAATTTAGAAGAAATGAATCTCATATATGCCAAAAGTGTTTACATGCTACGGCCATAGTGAATTTATAGGCCTAGGAAGTGTGTGTGACAAGTTAGACTTAACTAAGATTAAATTAAACCATGGTATGGTTTAAGCTAACCTTAGGCACCAAAATTTGAATTCAAATTCAAATTTTGGAGTCCGGCCATGTGCTTAGTTCATTAACATGTGATTTAGTGTGCATTTGGATGGCATTTGAGTCATGCCATGTGCGCCTCCCTCTAGGCCAGATCACATGGGTCAAATGCATCCTAAATGCATACTAAATGGCATGTAAATGAATTAGCACATGTGATTAACTATCCTAGTCCTAAAATGGCCAAAAATTACAAGGCCCAAATCCTATTCTACTTGGCCAAAATACAAGGCCCAAAACAAGAATTACAAGCTTAATGGGCTAGACCTATTCTACATGTGTAGCCCAAGTGAAAAAGGACTATGGGCTTTTCCTTAGCATCAACCCATTCTTCTTGTATCCTCTTGGCCATGGCCCTAGTATTTGGGCCCTTGGCCCATGGGCCTCCATCATCCCCTCCCCCTTGAAGAGGATTTGACCTCAAATCCAAAGAATCCTCTTCTTGATCAGCAACCCCTGTAAAAAGAGATAAATCAGAAATATTGAAATTAGGGCTGACTCTATACTCAGAAGGAAGGTCTAAGACATAGGCATTATTGTTGATTTTCTTAAGAACTTGAAAGGGTCCATCTCCTCTAGGACGAAGTTTGGACTTTCTTTTGGAAGGAAATCTTTCCTTCCTAAGGTGTAGCCAAACCCAATCTCCTTCATTGAAGACACCTCCTTTCTACCCTTATTGTTATATTTGTATATTTTTCTGTTTGGGATTAAATATGATCTCAAACCCTCTCATGCAACTTCTTAACAAAGTCAACTCGAGATGTTCCTTCTTTGTGAATAAAAGAAGCAATATCAAGAAGAGGTAACAAATCCAAGGGGTGAGAGGATTGAAACCATATGCAATCTCAAAAGGAGACATTTTAGTGGTTTTATGAACCACTCTATTGTATGCAAACTCCACATGAGGTAGGTAGTCATCCCATGACTTTTTATTACCTTTGAGAATTGCCCTCAACGTAGCTCTAAGAGATCTATTAACTACTTCAGTTTACCCATCAGTTTGAGGGTGACATGTAGTAAAAAATAGGAGTTTAGTTCCTAGCCTAGACCAAAGGGTTTTCCAAAAATGGTTAAGGAACTTAACATCTCGATCAGACATTATAGTCTTAGGCAACCCATGAAGCCTTACTACTTCTTGAAAGAATAATTTAGCAATGTTACTTGCATCACCCACTTTGTGGCATGAAATAAAGTGTGTCATTTTACTAAAACGGTCCACTACCACAAAAATAGAATCATTTCCTCTTTGGGTTCGAGGTAATCCAAGGACAAAGTCCATGGATATATCTACCCAAGGAGCATTGGATATTGGCAAGGGGGTATATAATCCATGAGGTTTAGTTGTAGATTTAGCTTGAAGACAAGCTATACATCTAGAACAAAATCTTTGGACATCTCTTTTCTTATGAGGCCAAAAGAATTTCTCTTTTAATAGCAAAAGAGTTTTCTCAATTCCAAAATGTCCCATGAGTCCACCCTCATGACTCTCCTTTACCAAAATTTTCCTAATAGATCCTTGGGGTATACAAAGTTTATTTTTTTAAAAAAGAAACCCCTCAGAAATATAGTAACCTTGGTAAGGCTTTTGAATACATAGAAGATAAAAGTTAGCAAAATCAGGATCTTTCTCATACAATTCCTTGATGTCATCAAACCCTAGTATTTGAGAACCAAGGGTGTTTAATAAAACATGCCTTCTTGATAAGGCATCAACTACTACATTAGTAGAACCTTTCGGCCTATTGCGTGACCGAAGGGGTATCCACCGGTACAAAAATTAAACATATATTTAAGAGATATCCTATATCATTATAATCTTAATTACATTCTTAACATAAAACTTTCTTTTAAATTAAATGCCAAAGTGTATTTGCCACCAACCCCACAAATTCAGGTGGCAACAATTTTTTTTTCTTTCCAAAAACACGTATTTCTTCTCCTACATGCGAATGTGTAACGATACAATTCACAATTTCGCGACAAAAATCGTAAGGTTCTAGTGGATAGATGTGACATACGATATTATTATACATACACGCACAAACATTATTTGCATGAAAACAACCAATTGCGACATGTTCGATTCGGTGATTTTTTTATGGTAGTTTATTTCGGAAAAGTTCTTATTAAATATGGCAGGTGTTGTTTGGCTCAACTTGGGAATACGTTGACTCACTTGTATGTTTGTTGGGTGATGAATTATTTATGGTAGGATGGAAATCACATATTCTCTATCTTAACTATATGGTGTTTTGATGAGATCAGCAAAGTCTAATTTCAGATTATTGTATATGCTTAAACGTTAGGGAGTTTTATTAAATTATAGGTACTTAATTAGTCCAAAAGAGTCTTCTTGGACAAAAAATGCTCACGAAATAGCATTTTAAAGGAATCTACGCCAACAGGAAAGTGAGAGTTATCATATGTATACTTGACTATTTATATAAACTTGCATTATGATAACAGTAAAAATGAAATAATTAACAAAAGTTACCTATGCAAACATTTGGAAGGTATGGATTTTTTTTTATAAAATAAATAAATTAAGGTAAGGTATGACCCCATAGAAAAATATGAATTTATTATAACCTTAATTGAAAAAATTACTTGTATTAATGATTAAATTTAATATTAATATAAGTAAGAAATTTGATTTATCCCCAAATTATGTTGTTGAGACTTGAGAGAGAGGACTTGCTCTAATGTTGGTCAAACTCATTAATTGGTCAAAATCTTTTACGAGTCATTTTTTAAACATCTTTAAGTTTAATGGTTATCTTTATAAATTAATACAAAATTTTTCAATGTGTTTTGACTCCACTCACATACTTTTGATAAATTTTTTAAAAGGTCACCCAAATTATTTCAAGTTAAATATGTTTAATTATAAAGTTCTTAAGTGATGAGTTCCAATAAAAAATGTGTGCATTGTAATGGTATAAGTAGTGATAATTAATTCTTTTAAGTCATATTCAATTGTACAGTATCTAAATTTCTCTCAATCTAATATATATGTGAGATGTTACAAAAAAACTTGTATTCAAAGCTTAATTACTATTGTTGTATACAAAGTGAAACTTATGTGATTGAATTCTAATGTTTCCTCCAAGACACAATTGTCACATGTGAATGTGATATTTTATACTCTTGTGCCAAAAGGATATGGAATTGAAACACTTATATTAGAATATGGGTAACCACCAAGGCTTGAAAAAGCTATGATAGCGCTAACAATTGCATATGTAATCATCATGTTGTTGTGAAGTGTATTTGTGTTGTCTTTAGCCCTTTAATACCATTATCTTAAGTTCAATATTTCTTTTCCTAAAAAAGAATAATGTATTTTTTTATCATATCTATATAAATAGCCCATGTAATTGGCCTTTGCAATCAAATAAGTTTGAGTTGTATCTTATAAATCTCTTTTGTTCTTCTAACAAAGTGGTATTAAAAGCTCGATTTAATTTAAAGTGTTGAAAGAGACAAAGAGGGAAAAAAACAGTGTTACGAGATGGCAAATAATGGATGTATTATTTTCATTTTTCCTTATCTTGTGAAAGTGAAATACGAAAACTAGTAGTTTCACATGAAAATATTGCTTAGCTTTCAAGGTATATAAGATGTTGTAGACAAGGATATTAAAAGCCACAAAATGAAAAAAAGATTGTCACAAAATGTTAATGTTTCCTTATAAAAGATAATGAAGAAGGATCAATATAAGCTTTAACTCTAACTTATCATTGTTTGGATGACTCCATATTCAAGAAAGTCACTTATATATACTACTAATTCAAATGAATCTTGATAGATTTTGGAGATATCTCTCCAATGAGTTGACCAAGTGAAAAGTTAAGATTTTAGTTGCTAAGGCTCGATTTCAAGGCTTGAAAGATGAATAAATTTATATCAATTTTAAATTATTGCTCAAGAGTAATGGAAAATAAAGAAAAATATTTAAACATAAACTCATTCCTATGTCTTAAATTATCTAAACTATCGTAATCATTTTAATTAGAATGATACATTAGGATGTAAACAATGCCTAATGTTTTCATTTAGTAGCATCACTTAGAAACTGTCTGAGATAGTGATGATGACTCAATTCT